TGAGAGAATCGATTGCTAACGTTGACACAAAGAATGCGTCGACTGCTGAAGTCGAGACGCAGACGGACGTCAGTCCTGAGCTGCTCCAGTTGCAGCTCAGCTCGGCCAGAGACAAGGACTTGATCCGAACACTGACTGAAGAGACCACAGCGAGAAGGGCCGAACAGGAGGGTCTTCGAGAGCAGCTCAAACGAGCTCAAGAAGTACTCAAGGTTCGAGATGAACAGATCCTGGCGCTGCAGAAGGCCAAGGATCAGACCGTAACTGAGGTCAAAGATCAGATAGAAGTCACCAGGACCAGAATGAGGCGTTTGATGGGTTTGGCGCGAGAGCGAGAGGCGCAGTGGAAGGAAACCAACAGAAGCCTCGAAGAAGAGCTCAAACAGACGCAGCTCCAGTTAGCAAAGAAAGATCGTCAGCTCAGGACTCTGACGGAGGCTAATGAGTCCATGACCCTCGAGGTTAGAAGTATAGAAGACGATCTGACTGTTCAGATAGAGGCCGAGGTGGAGGGCGAGGTGAAGGCCGAGGTGGAAACCGAGGTGGAGACCGAGGTGGAGACCGAGGTGGAGACCGAGGTAGAGGCTGCGATAGAGTCAGAAGTAGAGGGTGAGTTAGAGGCCGGGATAGAGACTGAGATAGAGACAGAGGTAGAGATCCAGATCCTGGTGCAGCAGAATGCCAAGGATCAGACCGTAACTGAGGTCAAAGATCAGATAGAAGTCGCCAGGACCAGAATGAGGCGTTTGATGGGTTTGACGCGAGAGCAAGAGGCGCAGTGGAAGGAAGCCAACAGAATCCTAGAAGAACTCAGACAGAGGCAGCTCCAGTTACCAGAGAAAGATCGTCAGCTCAAGGCTGTGATGGAGGCTAACGAGTCCATAACCCTCGACATCACAAAGTTAGAAGACGATCTGACTCGTCTTAAACAGGAGACCCTTCAGTTTATGAAGGAGCCTGTTCAGTTAGAGACAGAGGCCGAGGTGGAGACCGCGATAGAGGCCACAATAGAGAGCAAGGTAGAAACCGCAAAAGAGACAGAGTTAGAGGCCGCTATAGAAACTCAGATAGGGGCCGCGTTAGGGACCGAGAAAGAGACCGCGATAGAAGCTATAGTCAGAAATGAAAGCGCGTCTGAACCTAAGCCTGAATCCGTAGACTTTAGACAGGTGCGCAGGGTGCTAGGTCTGAACGTTAGGAGCCTGGTCCAACTGTTCGCTCAGAAAGACCAGGAAGCTCAGGAGGAGGAACAACGAGCTAAAGAACTACAGGAGAAGACGAAACAAAAGGCTGCAAACTTCAGGTGCAGTCGCAAGTAAGTAAATCCCTTCGGGCGACACGGTGGCCGAGTGGTTAGCACTCGTGCTTCTCAGCAAGAAGGTTCTGGGTTCGAATCCTCACGGACACAGGACCTTTCTGAGTAGAGTTTTCATGTTCTCCCCGTGTCTGCGTAGGTTTCCTCCGGGTGCTCCGGTTTCCCCTACCACTAAAAACATGGACAATAGATCCTCTCTCTGAGGGGCCAGGACGCCCCTGAAAAAGAGATTCTGAAATCTCAGTGGGACGTTCCTGGTTGAATAAAAAAAAATAAAAAATTTTAAAATCTAAAAAAATAATAATAATAACTTAAAAAAAAAAAAAAAAAAACTTTAAAAAAAACACAAAACAAAAACTTAAAATCGAGCATTCCATTGGCTGAGTGCATCAGCCATAACTGGCAACCCCCTCATGGATCCATGAAGGGGTTGCCAGGTTGGGTTTGGGTTGTCCACAAAAAGCTTTAAGCTGCAAAAGCAGCAGAATGTACTGGAGAGTTTGTTCGGCTGTTTGTGCTTCTGGAGCTTTGAGGCAACACAAACACCCGCAGATGCTGCTTTGCTGATTCTGCACAAAATGGCCTCCAACGAGTCTGGGTCTCCAGACCGCGTTGGAGATCAGGGAGGTCCGGCGGGTTCAGAAGGAGGTGTGGCTGAGGTCTCAGTCCGACAGAGCAGGACCAGACTCCTCATGGCCCCAGGTCCAGGCTCGACCTGAAGACCTGATGAAATGAGTGTAGTCTGAAGTGTTCCTGTTTGGTTGGAAGGAAAACCTCAGTGAGACCTCTGTAAAACCAGTTGGTCTTCCTGGTGTAGATCAGTCAGAGCAAAGCAACAGCCTCTCTTTGCTCGTTTGAGTTTGGCAGATTGGTTCTGGCGTGTGAGCTGTAAGAATGTTCCAATCCGTGTCGTTAGGGTTAGGGTTAGGACAATTAGGTTTAAAACAGTGTCATAGACTCAGTAAGAAACTATGAGACTGTTTTTGGCTTTAGACTCGACAACAATGGACTGTACTAATGCATTTGTGGAAGACTTCTCTGGACTTTGCCTCCAGTAATAACTGAGGAACAATAAACGTTTTTCACACAAATTTAACTCGACAATGTTTTTACTTTTCCACAAAGTGTCTCTCTGTCAGGTCTCTCTCTGGTCTGAATCTTTTGTCTGGCTCTCTCTGATCTCTCTTGGATCTCTCTCTGGCCTTTCTCTCTGGTCTCTCTCTCTGGTCTCTCTCTCTGGTCTCTGGTCTCTCTCTCTGGTCTCTCTCTCTGGTCTCTGGTCTCTCTCTCTGGTCTCTCTCTCTGGTCTCTCTCTCTGGTCTCTCTCTCTGGTCTCTGGTCTCTCTCTCTGGTCTCTCTCTCTGGTCTCTCTCTCTGGTCTCTCTCTGGTCTCTCCCATGAATATCATCACTATCAAATAATGATCTGGGAAAACAACATGACATTTTTTTTTTTTAATCCAATGTATTTGCGTATCATCTAAAACCACAACAGCTGACGTCTAGGAGGATTTTACAAAGTTGGGGATTTTACAGATTTGAAAATTAGTTTTTTATTCATACCTTGATATCCATTTTTAACGGTTTGATAACTTGTATAACTTATATTTATTTCACATTTAGGTAACACTTTAGATTATCTCTCACTATTTAAGAGCTAATGACATGCTAATTAGCATATGCTAGCTGTATCCCTAAACCTACTCCACATGGGAAGTGGGAAGTTAGTAGTTAGCTAAAAATATAGAATAAGGCCATGTAGAATAAGTACTAATAATTGCTTAATAAATACCAGGTAAAAGCTAATAAACCATAAAATATACACTGATTAGCATTTAATTAGCATTTAATTAGCTGTTATTTAGTGAGGGATGATCCAAAAGTGTTACCCATGTTTATTTTATTTAGCGTTAGCGTTGTCCAAGAGCATGGAGCTACAACCACCAAGCAAGCTCTGGATGTCAACACTCTACTCCATGACTTCTAACCTTATATTTCCCGAGGGATGAAGGATGTCCGTGTCTTTGTATTATTACCTGATAACTGAGAGCATCTGAAATATAAATGCCAAAACATTACATTGAAATTGACCTTTCAACTCAAAAATGCAATTCCAAGGGCTGCCATCAATTACAGAATGTGTCACTTATAGAGCCATTAGCATAGGACGATTAGCTCGTGACAACTATCATGTGACAATTAGCATGTGACAACTATCATGTGACAATTAGCATGTGACAACTATCATGTGACAATTAGCATGTGACAACTATCATGTGACAATTAGCATGTGACAACTATCATGTGACAATTAGCATGTGACAACTATCATGTGACAATTAGCATGTGACAACTATCATGTGACAATTAGCATGTGACAACTATCATGTGACAATTAGCATGTGACAACTATCATGTGACAATTAGCATGTGACAACTATCATGTGACAATTAGCATGTGACAATTAGCATGTGACAACTATCATGTGACAATTAGCATGTGACAATTAGCATGTGACAACTATCATGTGACAATTAACATGTGACAATTAGCACGTGACAACTATCATGTGACAACTAGCATTGAATATTTAGCATAGGACAATAAGCAGATCACAATGAGCTTAGTGTATTATAGATGGGAATATCTGTGTGTGTGTGTATGTATATGTAATATATTTGTATATTTAAATACATGTTTTTATCTAATTTTTCTTTCCATTTCCATTCATCTATTTTTTGCCGTTTACTTGTTCTGTTCCCTATTTTCTTTACAATTTGTGAAAAAAAGGAATAAACAAAAAATGATTTTATAAAAAAAAAAAAAAATTGAGGAAAAAGTACATAATAATTGTATACAGAGAATAAAAAGTAGTAGTAGTTGTTTAAGGAAAGGTTATGCAGATTTTCATTTATGCATGCCTTATTTTATTTTAATGAAGCTCATGCGGATGTTCAGACTGAAAGACCGAGTGCCTGCCAATCACACAGCTCTGCCAGCCTCGAGCCTCAGCCAATCACACAGCTCTGCCAGCCTCGAGCCTCAGCCAATCACACAGCTCTGCCAGCCTCGAGCCTCAGCCAATCACACAGCCAGCCTCCTGCCAACCCTCTCAGAGCAAAGCGGGCAGTTTAAAAGGCAGCCACTTCCTGACAAACAGCGCTTCCTGAGGCTCTTAAACACCCACCACCTCCCCAGCACCCCCTCTGGCTTCTGGCTCCCGCTCTGGCTCCCGCTCTGGGTCCCGCTCTGGCTCCCGCTCTGGCTCCCGCTCTGGGTCCCGCTCTGGCTCCCGCTCTAGGCTCCCACTCCGGCTCCTGCTCCGCCTACGCCCCATTCACACCATACTCTAGCCACCACCAGTGATTGACCCCGGGGGATCTGAGATCATTTCAGCTGCAATCGATCTCATAGCTGCAAGTGTCACTGCCGGGGTCAATGCGCCAAACAAATAAATCATTTTAATGTATTTATTGTGTCTTTGGTCTCTTCAGATTGAATAGTTTTTAACTGGTTTTCACCAAGATCCAAAGCAATTTCCAAGTTTGTGATTTACTTCCTCACTCACTCACATGGCAACAAAAATAATTCTTGTTCTTAAAAAAATTTACTTCAATTGCTCCAGTATATATTTATCGTTCAATCTATTTAATATAATTCAAAGTAAATATAATTTGGGGCCTGAATGAGCCGCAAGTTTTACACCAACAACTCAAACTGTGCATCTGCCGAAGTCCTGAACCTGCAGCTAATGAAATCAACGCCCAATAACGGGTCAGTCAACAGCAGCGCGATTCAGGAGCCTCCTCCAGCCTGAGCTTTGACCCCCACACGTCTGGCCCCGGTGCTGGGCTCAGAATGGGGCCCTTGTGCTTCGGCAAAACACAGGTGAGCTAACATTGGTCCTCAGAGCTACATTATGTCACTAGAGCGGGCAAGGTGCTGCAACCTGACACCCGGCTGACCCCCGTGAGCCTCCACAATGCTACTGTTGGAGGGGTGGGGGGTGAGGGTTGGAGGGGGGTGAGGGTGGAGGGTGGAGGGGGGTGAGGGTGGAGGGGGGTGAGGGTGAGGGTGTAGGGGTTTTGGAATCACCTTGCACCAGAGATAATATTAGTTTCAATTAGGGCGAGATGAGGTTGTGTCTTTTCATTGTGGAGGAATGTAGTTAGTGATGAAGATGGTATTGTCAATATTAGTGCAGGTGAGAAGCTCTTTATGGGGCCACGCTGAAATGTAATTTAACCTCCTAAGACCTGCCGTCCACATGTGTGGACATCACATTTTGGGCTGTACAAACATAATACTTCATCCTGATTTATTGGGGCCTGGGGTCCACATACAGCAATACCTACACTGCCCTCTAGCAGTGTTGGAGGAATTACAGCACAAGCTAACACAAAACAAAATGGCTGACCACGCACAGGAAAGTTCACATGCAAGTTCCCAACCAAAAAATCCACCAAGTAAAAATTCCAATCCGATTTCAAAGATTATTCTTGTTCAGATAGTTTTATAAGTGATGTAAGTTTGTCATGGCATGTAAATTTTACAATAATTACAATTTAAAAACAATTGTCTGGACTGCTAAACATGATGTCCACATATGTGGACAGAAGGACTTAGTTTTGTTGAAAATGGTTCTAATCGCATGTGGAATGCACCTGTGTTCGATGGAATTTTTTGCTATTATTGTCAAGTTTTTCTATGTCACCATCAACTAAAAGGGCCACCTGTTGAATCAAGCCAGTGTGCTTCCAGCATACTATATAATTCCAAAATTAGTGCTTACTTGCTCTTTGATTTAGTCTATTTCCTATGAGTTAAATCCATCCATCCATCTATTTTCTTCCGCTTCATCCGTTGCCGGGTCGCAGAGATGCCCAGACTTCCCTATCCACACACACTTACTCCAGTTTGTCAGGGGGGAGCCCAAGGCCTTTCGGCTCAGCTTCACCGCGACCGCATCACTGCACCGATCCGCCTGTCAATCTCACGCTCCATCCTTCCCTCACTCGTGAACAAGACCCCGAGATACTTGAACTCCTCCACTTGAGGAAGGACCTCTCCACCCACCTGAAGAGGGCAAGGCACCTCGGAGCCAACAGGACAACATCGTCTGCAAAAAGCGGAGATGAAATCCTGTGGTCCCCGAACCGGACCCCCTCCTGCATCTAGAAATTCTGTCCATAAACACAGTAAACAGAACCGGTGACAAAGGGCAGCCCTGGCCGAGGTCAACATGGTCTGACTTACTGCTGATGCGAACGCAGCTCTGGCTCCGGTCATACAGGGCCCGTAAGGCCCTAAGGCAGAATACCCCGTACTCCTGGAGAACCCCCCAAAGGACATCCCGGAGAACACGGTCGAACACCCTTCTCCAAATCCACAAACACATGTGGACCGGTTGGGGGCGAACTCCCATGAACACTCAATGAACCGATGGAGAGTATAGAGCTGGTCCAGTGTTCCGTGGCCGGGATGAAAACCACACTGCTCCTCCTGAATCCGAGATTCGACCATCGGCCGTAGCCTCCTCTCCAGTACCTTGGAGTGGACCTTACCGGGAAGGCTGAGGAGTGTGATCCCACAATAATTGGAACACACCCTTCTGGTCCCCCTTCTTGTAGAGAGGGACCACCACCCCGGTCTGCCCACGATCGCCTCGCGATGTTGCAGAGACATGTCAGCCAAGACAGTCCTACAATAGACTTTAGATAGTCTTTGCGAATCTCATCCACTCCCAGAGCCTTGCCACCAAGGAGGCTGCCAACCACCTTGGTGACCTCTGCCAGGGAGATGGAGGTATCTGCCCCAACATCCTCAACCTCTGCCTCCGTTCTGGAGGACGTGACGGGGGGATTGAGGAGAACCTTGAAGTATTACTTCCACCGCCCGACAAGATCCCCAGTGGAGGTCAGCAGCTCTTCGCCCAACACCGTCCACGGTGTTGGCAAAGAACTGCTTCCCCCTCCTGAGGCGCCGGACGGTTTGCCAGAATATCTTCAATTTATTAAGGCCGACCGATAGTCATGCTCCATGGATCATCCGAGTACTCTTTTTGCTGTTTTTGCACTGAGATATGTTTGAACATGTTCCTTGTTCAATATTGTTCATTTATCAAATGTTTGTGTCGAAATAAAGCGTTTTCCACTTTATTACACAGTCGTTACTTAATGCCTTTTTTATGGAAATTCAGACCGAGCGTCCACATATGTGGACAGCATTTTTCTCAAAATTTACATCATGTCAAGAGATGATGCTTAGTATATATTCTTATCTGGCCCCAATATGCCCAATTAGCCAAGATAAATAAAAAATGCATTGCAAAAAAGTGCTCGGGTCTTAGGAGGTTAAATATATATATCGATCGTTTTTTACTTTTTTACTTTACTTTTCACACACACAGACATGCATTTCCGGGGCAACATTAGGATTAAAAGATCCTTTGTTTGTCCCACAGTGAGGAATTTTCAGAGTTAAATCACAGTTTACAAAATAGTAGGAATGAGGAGCACACAGCACAAGATAATGTTATGATTTTTATTTTTACAGAGACAGTGTTAAATCAACATTAGCCAAGAGGAGCGTGTTGTAGCAGCAGTGCTAATTTACACCTGTAGTCCCTGAGCAGGATGTTGTAAAACAGTAAAAATGAAAGTAGATGGATACATTACCATACATTATTAGTCAGAAAAAAGCTAAATTTATGCTTGTTTATAGTTGGTCGCAACTGGCGGTGGTCTATCTTCGCTTGAGCCAAATTTGGCTCCTGATTGGTCAGTTGTTCAGGCTCATCTCTGGATTTACAAAGACTACAAAGATGACTAAACCATGGAAGTCTGAAATGGTGAGTGTGACCCAAATGCGGTCAGAGCAAGAGGATTTAATTTTCCAATGTAAGTCCATAGGAGCCCAAACAAGTTGTAGAAAAACTTCGTCCATGAGCACTTCCCTTTTGAGCTTCATTGAGCTATCAGCCAGTTAGCATTGTCCATCTACATGCAGTCTATAGTTCCAACCAATTTCGTAATCCACCTTCCATATGCTCGTCTATAAAAACACAAAATCTCTAAAATGTCTCAGGTAAATCACTTTTACATTGTGTGTGTGTGTGTGTCCGGGTGTGCGTGTGCGTGTGTGTCATATCTATTAGCCCTTCTGCTGTTGTTTTAGTGTGTGGTGTAGCTGGCCACGTGTGCGACCGTTCCCCTGTGTGCGTTCTAATGTGTTATCCAGTCCTATCAAGTGACTAAATCAACAACGAGCTGTTTTTACATTCGCCATTTTCAGTTAGCGAGACCCCAGTCCTGCAGTATAGGGGTCCCTGAACGCCTCACGGTGTGTAGAGGTCCCTGAACGCCTCACGGTGAAGTCATCCACACACAGAGGTCCCCAATGTGCCTCTGTGGGGTGATAAAGTCACACTTATCCAACAGGAATCAGAACGGAGGCTGGACAGGTGACCCAGGATGGATGGGGAAAAATATAAAAGTGTTGATAGCATTTAAAGCTGGGGTGCTTAACTTTCAAACCTCAACAAAGGCATAAAATCTGTGTAACTACTTCCTGGCTCTAAAACAATTTGGTTCGGTCTTTATGACACGTGTTTTAGCCTCTGTCACATCTTTCTGTCTGCTTTTTCAGACAGAAAAGAAGAAGAGAAAAGTGACCAGCCTCTCTCAGCCAATCAGCTCACAGGGATTTTTTCTAACTCTTATCTGTCCTGGAATCAAAATAGGTATCAATCTAAATGTGACACTGCAAAACAAAAGTATTTTAATGCAATAAAACCAAACACCAGAGCAAATCCAAATTTAAAACGGGAACAAGACGTGAAGAAAGACAATGACGACATATTGTGAACCCGTCTCATCGTGTCTCATATTTTTTCTTTGCAGACGCTGAGATTAAAGTCATAATATTTCTACTTTAAAGTCAGAATATTAGGAGAATGAAGTTGAAAAATGACAAGAATAAAGTCACAATATAATGATAAAGCTTGAAACATTCTGAGATGAAAGTCAAAGGCAAAAACAGTCTTAAAAGTAATACGAATTTATTCTCGTAATTTGGTCAAAACAGTAGAAAACAGGATTATTCTTTTCTGGATTTACCTTCTACCTGGATTCCACAATAGATCCACAACAGATTCTGAGTTACTATAACAGATTTTTTAGTTTTATCAAATGAGAAAAGCAAAGACAAAGCAGTTTTCCAGCTTCCTTGGGCTCGTCTGCAGAGATTCGGATTCTAATTGGACTCTTTCGTTCCTGCCACTTTAAATCAAATCAATGAAAGCTGTTGTTAACGTGATCTGAAGCCGCCATGTTATAATCTCCTAATCTGGACAGTTTGGATCGAAGCTGGCGAGAACCTCCTCAGGCTTTCATACTTAACTCCAGTTGGCTGAAAATCTGACAAGTCTTTTAGCTTTAGATTCTCGCTGTTGTCGCTAACACAGTTTGAATGTTGTGGAAAGTTTGGGATTGGGAACAGATGCAGAGCTGGAGGGAACTGCGTGGACTCGGTTATTTGATAAGTGTGCGAAGAAATGCGGCCGGAAAGAAGGGACGAGAGGAAGACGTCACCCCCCTCCACTCACATCTGTCCGGTTCTCACACACAACATCCAATCCCTACAACAAAACACTGGGGGCTTTTTCAATCACTCTGTCATGGTGTTAGCCTGGTCTTACCATACCATTGTACTCATTTCCATTGAGCTCTGTTAACAGGTGGGAGGGGTCAACTTCTTTTGCAGATTGAAACGATTGGATCTGAGTTTACTGTCACGTATGTCATTTTGCCTGAGTGAGTGAGGCATTTATCATTTAGCCTAGCTTTAGCATTTAGCCTCTTTAGCCATCTCCTTCGGGTCAGCACTAGATCATATAAGGAATCGGGACGGAAGCGGAAGTAAATCCGGCACGGTGGCTGAGTTTATAGCACTCTCGCCTCTCAGCAAGAAAGTCCTGGGTTCGAATCCCGGTCGGACCAGGGCCTTTCTGAGTGGAGTTTGCATGTTCTCCCCGTGTTTGCGTAGGTTTC